GATAGATAGATAGATAGATAGATAGATAGATAGATAGATAGATAGATAGATAGGATAGATAGATAGAGAGAGAGAGATAAATAGACTTCTTAAGCTGTCCAAAGTAGAATATGCCTGAACTGTAAGCATGAGAGAGGCTGAGTCAGAAAAGTTACAAGTTCAAACCCAGGCTGAATTATATATGGGGGATCCTGTCTCATAAAACATTAAAAAAAAATAAATACATACATACCTATGCAAAAAAGAAAACTAATTCTAGTTTTTAAGAGTTCTTGAAACCCAGATCACTTTAAGTGTATCTTAAAACAATTATAAATTTTTGAAGTTTCTTTCAAACCACCTTCATCCCCCAAACTAAAGGTATATGTCCATAGCACAATCTAGTCTCCACAACTCTCATATCTTACACACGTGGCTCTTGTCTGTCCATACCTAGTTAACAGCATCTGCACCCTTTCCACAGTTCTTGGTGCAATACAGTGCCCCAAGCTGAAGATTTCAGCAATAGGAACAGCACGGTTCTACTTACGAGAAGTTCTGGAAGCAAGAAGCGTAACTCGAGAGCCGCCTAGGAGACGAAAACCCATCACATTCACCTGATCATCATCTGACTGATTGGCAAAGTCTGCAAAGAAAGAGGAAAAATAATCACCCAATGAATCACAAAATAAAGACTAATATTTAAAACAGGAAGCTTAGTTTTACATTATTAATATTTAAAATGCACATATGAACTATATTAGCTGATCTTCACAGCAGCTTCCAATTGCTCAAATTTCTGCCTCATAGTAACACTCTGGAATGATATCATTTTCCTTATTTTTTCATAGATGAGTGCAGGTGTGAGGCTGAACATGCGCAGACTAAATCTGGGAAAAAATGTCACTCCAGACAGCATCTGCGATTTGCAGACATCTACAAAGACATCTGAGCCACCTCAGAAGACTGTGATGGACACAGCAGTGCATGTCAATCATCCCACATCAGAGCGGGAATAACTCAATTGTGAGGCCAACCTAGGCTACGCAGAGAATCTACTCTCCAAAAGACAGAGGCAGGCAGAGAGGCTGAAACCAAGAGTAGCTACAGACAAAAAAATACAGGAGTGTCAAAATAGATAACTGTGGCAAAACTTGGCAAAGTCTACAAAGAAAAGAGAAAAATAATCATCTACATAATCACAAAATAAAAACTAATATTTAAAATAGGAAGCTTAGTTTTACATTATCAATATTTGAAATACACATATGCACAATATTTGAAAAGTCTTTCTATGGATACCAAAACTAAAATAAAACAAAGACAAATTATTCCTATAGGAATATCCTAGAGGATCAACATCATTCACTTTATACTAAATATAGACACCTCCCTTATTATAAAGGGATTGGATTCCAATAATCCCACCATAGATTTAAAATACCATGAAGTAGAAACACACTTAATACATCTACCCTTCAAACACTGTAAGTTGCCTTACCTGCAATTGATTGGCTGAGAATGTCGATATTCACTGAGCTGAGAAAAACCAAATTCTGGTCCTTGAAGAAATTAACTTTACACTAAATTTCAAAAGGTTTTAATGTATGTATTCTTAACCTTTAACCTATCAGTTCTACTTTCAGATCTTAATCCAAGAAATGATCATAAATTTGAAATAGTTTTTTGCAAGGAACCTATCACAAGGCTACAATGTAAATATTTAAATTTAGAATATGAGTCAGATGATTTCATAACGTCCATTTATAAGAAAGCACCATGTAAGAATTAAAGTCACAAATGGAAATATTTATGGTCTATAAAGATGTTTCTAAACAATGTTAAAGAAAACCTTTATGGGAGGGGTAGATGCTTACAAAAATTATTTTAGCAATATTAGGAGAAAGTACAGAAACAAACATATGCATTTCTGGATAGTAAATTATTAGCTGGTTCCTTGTGTGAACTCATCTATTTTTTTAACTTCTCATTTATTTGTAATAAAAGCTAAAAATCACTAAACATATGCCCTACATTTCATCAAAAAAGTAGATAGACAATTAGGAAGAAATAGAGATTTAAAGTTATTTTTTGTATGAAACTCATTAATTCATTTCTTTCAGATTTGAAATAGTCACTGTATCTAATGTCAACATATAGGAACCTTTATTCACTGAAGATGATGTGAGAATTACTTTAAATAATTAGAGGGCTCCATCATGTACATTGTACTTAAGTTAATAGAAATACATATTACATGTATATGTCTTGGGGGAAATAACTTTTACTTTGTCACTGGGTGCTGTTTCTAGAACAAGTAAAATGCTGACAGCCAAGATACTCCTACAGCATCAACAAAGGCTCCAAACCAGTAGAAATGTGGGGTCCCCACACTTTTTAAAAACATAGTCTGTTTTACCAAGATAAACTCCCTGGTCAACAGCCTACATTTCTCTTCAATCTCCAGTTGAGCTCTGTTTATGCTAATAAAGGTCAGCGTCTCAGAACCCAGTACTTAAACATCATCAACAGAATCAGTAAATTTACTACCGATCAACATCTAATCTCCAGCTGTGGCCATGGCAGTTTATGCAATCCAAAGAAATACTGTGTGCAAGGTGCTACAAAGGGAGTGGGTCCTCATGCATTTGTGCTGTCTAACATTGTTACAAAAGATGGGAAGAAGGAAGAGAAGGTGGGGAGAAAGCAAGAGAAGAGGGAGGAAACTATTTAAAAAATAACTATTCACTATGTACACACAAACTCCATTCAAAATTAAGACTTGAATGATTGTTTTAAAAAATACTTCATTTTAGAGATTATTTCTCATGGAAATACATAAATGAAGGCTTTAAAACCTATGTCCAGGCTGGGTGTGGTGGTGCACATCTTTAATCCCAGTACAGGCGGCAATGGCAGAGTTCAGGGTTAGCCTGCTCTGAGTTCAAGGCTAGCCTGCTCTACAAAATGAGCTCCAGGACAGGCAGAGTTACACAGTGAGACCCTGTCTCAAAATAAGGACCATCATAAGTAAGACCTATTCTTAATGAGTAACAAGTTAAAAGCATTTTATATAATAACACAAAGGGGTGCTTACTACAAATATCTCAATTTTATGAGAAATAGTCTGGATTCTATATCCTATACCTCAAATACAAGAGTAAGGATACACCTCATAGTAAACACAGCTAACTTTTAATAAAGTACATTAAAAGGCTATTCAGTTCTTAGGGTTTTTTTCTTTGAATTCCATGCCATCCCTAAGAAAGCGGATAGAGCAGAAGAGAAGGCAGAGAGGCTGTAAGAGCCAGAGGTCTAGGATGACTCCAAGGAAAGAGTCTTCCAGACACAGCAGGACTGACGGCCAGGTGAACTCACAGAGACTGTGACCGTGTGCACAGGGCCACACAGGCTCAAGCCAGAGGGGTCCTAGCCCTGAGAGGGGGAAGAAGGCATGAGCTCCCTGTCCCAATCAAGAAGCTATTTGCAGCTGGCAGCTGCTGACACAGGGAAGCCCCTGGGCATATGAACTAGATGTACTCCAGGGCGTCCCCACTGTCAGTAACTGAGCAACACAAAACAAATTCTATGATTTTGGGGTGGGGGTTCATTCTGTTTTGACATTTTTGTTTGTTTGTTTGTTTGATCTTTTGCTTGTTCAATTTTCATTTTTGCGGTTTTGTGGATGGGGGAAGTAAAGTTGCATGGTTTGGGTGTTGGTGAAGATCAGGAAGAAAGTGAGAGAAGGTAAAACGATGATCAAAATATATTGTCTGAAAAATTTCTAAGAAAACAGAAAGTGGGTAGCGGTCTATTCCAAACCCTGGTTACAATGCTGTGCCAGCTATGCCGAAGCCGCAGCTCTTCTAAGATGCAAAGAAAGCCCCAACACACTCAGCAGTGTGCAAGCCACGAGGGCCACTCAGCAACCAGGACACACAACAGCCATCCACAAGACAAGCCTCAAAAGCGACAGTATGATGAGCAGTATTGTTAGAATAGTACAGATCCAAAGGCCGACTGCAACACTGAACATGTCTGTATTTCAAGCCCAAAATCCCAACCTGGAAAAGAGTCATGTGTTGTACTGAAGCAAGAAAAAAGATTATAAAAATATTGATAAAATGTAAAAGGTGTACCTTATCACCTCACTCACTAGGCTGCTCACCCCTAAGCAGGCCATGAGAGGGGAGGGTCCTCACCCTACAGGTACAGATAGCACCTCTATCACCTGCTGCTGGAGTATTCCAGAAACCCCAACATTCCCAAGCTCCCTGCAGAGTGCATCCCAAGTCCCACCTGGGAAGAGGCCGGGCAGGCTGACAGGAGGCTTGTTGGTGTCAATAGTGAGCTTGTGGCTTGCAGTTTTTGAAGGCTGACCTGGTAGGCAAATGAGTTTCAGAGGCAGTCTAAATTTACATTGGATAACCCGAGGAATTCCTGAAATTACAAAAATAAAAATAAAAATGAATGAATGACAAACATCTAGGAAGAGACGCTGTGTGTTCTGAGCAGAAGCACTAGGAAGTCTGCTGCCTGCCTCTCCATTTAGCTCAGATCAAGTAACTGGGAAGCGCTATTAGGATTCAGATTTATTTCATTATTATTTTTAGCATGAAAGAGATGAAGGGAGAAAGATAGAATGCAAGTAAAAGGACAAATAAAAAATATTATATTGAGTGAGGTAATCTAGAAAGGGTTTTCTCTTATTTGTCAACCCTAGCTCTGAATCTTTCAATGTGAGTATACGACCTGAGGTAACTGCAGATACAGGGGTGGGGATGGGGGGCATAACAGCATAGAGTATGGAGGGGTGCAGAGGTTCTAGGACAGGAAACGGCCGGGTGGTAGAGGTGCACGCCTTGAATCCCAGCACTTCGGAGGTAGAGACAGGCAAATCTCTGTGAGTTCGAGACCAGTCTAGTCTATAAAAGCGAGTTCCAGGACAAACAGGGCTGTTACACAGAGAAATCCTGTCTCAAAGAAACAAAACAAAAAAAAAGTTGGGGGGACCCATATGACACGGTTGCTATTAAACGAAAACTAGGAAAACCAGGCAAGGAAGACGTACCTATGTGAGGGGTGACATAGAAAGAGGAAAGAGGAGGGATAAATAATACCAAGGGTGCTTGAAAAAGCCATAGAAAATCATACTTTGTGCTCAATTAAAATTACATATAATATACATAAATGTATTTGTAGACAAACATACTTTTAACTAAAGTTACACAGTCATGATAATGCTGCCCACATACAAACACAGACCGTCTCTCAAAAATCCAAGAGCCTGACATGGGACACCTTTCAAGCTGTTTCAAGAAACCCTGCAACATATAGTTTATTGCAATTGTCCTTGGTTGTCTCCCAGAGAAAGGATATGGAGGAGTCAAGCTGGAACTGACCTAGCCAGCTACCTGAGGACTAGGTCTTACAGTATGGCACAGGGAAATGCAAGGTGCCAAGAGAAAACAGCAATCAAGATTTCTGCAGAGGTGTGACGTCTATAAACCACACACGCACACATACACACACACACAAATAACCAGAAAAGGAAGATAGTGTAAAAGAAACAATAGTGGTGGCTTCCACCCCGGAAGTAACCAACAGACATCTAAGTGGACTTGAGGCCTGCTCAGTTGAGAATTCATGTCTGCTACTACCAACGGCCTGTGCCGGGGAAGGCCATAAGAGCAAGATAACCTACTGCTGCCATTTTTCTAAGCCAGTGTAATTTCTAACTACATTTCAAATACTTATCAACAAGTAAATGTAGCCCTCAGCCTCTCAGTGGAGCACAGGGAAGTGTAGCCCGCAGCCTCTCAGTGGAGCTTCCTTTTCCGGCAGATAGTGATCACTACAGAAAGCCACAAGTTGTGCAAATGCAAAGAACAACTGAAAATAGGGTGCCTGTCCCCAGTTAGTACATCAACAATACAATACTTACACCTACAGCTTGGGGAACATTCCAGAAAAGGAAATGGGAAGACTGTGAGGGCCAAAGGACCAGGATGTCTGCTGTGACACAGTCTTCCTTAAAAAAAATAAAAATTTGGGGCATGGAGATTTTAAAAAAAGAAGACACCAAATAGAGGGGGAGTGAGGAGGAAGACGTGAACCTGGGGGCTCGGGGGAGGGAAGACAGGAGTGAATATCATCAAAATCCATTATATAAAAATCTTAAAGAATCCACTTATGAGTGAGTACATACCACATTCCTCTTTTTGGGTCTGGGTTACCTCACTCAGTAAAGTGTTTTCTATTTCCATCCATTTGCATGCAAAATTCAAGATGTCATTGTTTTTTACCGCTGAGTAGAACTCTAATGTGTATATGTTCCACACCTTTTTGAACCATTCTTCTATTGAGGGGCACCTAGGTTGTTTCCAGGTTCTGGCTATTACAAATAGTGCTGCTATGAACATAGTTGAACAAACACTTTTGTAGTATGTTAGGTCATCACTTGGGTATATTCCCAAGAGTGGAATTGCTGGGTCCTGAGGGAGGTTGACTCCCAGTTTCCTGAGAAACCGCCACACTGATTTCCACAGTGGCTGCCCAAGTTTGCACTCCCACCAGCAATGGATGAGTGTTCCCCTCACTCCACATCCTCTCCAGCATAGGCTATCATTGGTGTTTTTGAGTTTAGCTATTCTGACAGGTGTAAGATGGTATCTCAAAGTTGTTTTGATTTGCATTTCCCTGATCGCTAAGGATGTTGAGCATGACCTTAAGTGTCTTTTGGCCATTCGAAGTTCATCTGTTGTGAATTCTCTGTTCAGTTCAGTACCCCACTTTTTAATTGGGTTAATTAGAGTTTTAGTATCTGGCTTCTTGAGTTCGTTGTATATTTTGGAGATCAGACCTTTGTCTGTTGAGGGGTTGGTGAAGATCTTCTCCCAGTCAGAAGGTAGCCTTTTTGTCTTACTGACAGTGTCCTTTGCTTTACAGAAGCTTCTCAGTTTAAGTGGATTCTAGCCATAGTTAAAGGTCTTTGAGCCTATAATTCGTGATCCTAGAGAAGCTAAATAAGAAGGTGAACCTGAAGAAAATCATATAGTTATCCACCTGCATATAGGAAGTAGACAAGATTGCAAGGCAAACTTGGGTGCACGGGGAGGGGGTGGAAGTAAGGGGAGATGGTTAGAGAGAAGGGAGAGGGGGAGGATTGGGGATGGCTTGGGGGAATGAGATGGGGGAAGGAAGAATGGATATGGGAGCAGGGAAGTATATATCTCAACTAAAGGAGCCATTTTAGGGTTGGAAAGAGACTTGTTTCTAGAGGGGTTCTCAGGCCCAAGGAGAGGTCCCCAGATTGTTCCCTTGGCATCAGGGTAGAGGGTGCCTGAACTGGCCTTGGCCCATAACCATACTGATGAATATTTTGCATATCACCATAGAACCTTCATCTGGCGATGGATGGAGATAGAGACAGAGACACATATTGGAACACTGGACTTAACTCCCTAGGTCCAAATGAGAAGCAGAAGGAGGGAAAACGTGAGCAAGCTAGGCAGGACTAGAGGGAACCTTCATCTGACGATAAATGGAGATAGAGACGGAGACCCATATTGGAGCACCGAACTGAGCCCCCCAAGGTCCAAATGAGGAGCAGAAGGAGGAAGAACATGAAAAAGGAAATCAGGACCGCGAGGGGTGCGTTCACCCTCTGATACAAGGGGACTGATCGAATGAGAGCTCACCAAGGCCAGCTGGACTGGGACTGAACGAGCATGTGATCAAACCGGAGTCTCTGAATGTGGCTGACATGGGGGCTGACTGAGAAGCCATTGACAATGGCACTGGGTCTTGTTTTGTCTGCATGTACTGGCTGTTTGGGATCCTAGTCTGTTTGGATGCTCACCTTCCTAGGCCTGGAGGGAGGGGGGAGGAACTTGAACTTCCCACAGGACAGGAAACCCTGACTGCTCTTTGGACTGGAGAGGGAGGAGGAGAGGGAGTGGGGGGGGAGGAGAGGGAGTGGGGGGAATGGGAGGGTATGGGGAGGAGAGGAGGAAGTGGAAATTTTTATAAACAAACAAATAAAAATAAATAAATAAATAAATAATCTTAGAGAATTGATAAACATTTTTAAGGAGTTAAAAGAAGCATAGGCATGAGATCTATCTTTAAGCAGTGTATTTTTAAAATCCGGCCCATCAGACACCATAAAAATCATTCAATTACCGAGACAATTCTTTATGCTTTACAAAGCCCTTGCCTTAGCCAAGACTATCAGTCAAAATTAGAGCAAAGAACACTCAGTTTTTATGAGACTCTGTATTATCATATCTCAAACTGGTCTACCCAAGACGTTCTAAAACCTTAGCTTTTTACATATTGAGGATTCAAACTATATTAACTATTGTCAATAAATCATGACTGTGAAAGTACAATGCACATGACATTTTCAGAAATTTATGACAACTTTACACATTAATATTGGAACTGTTACTTAGGGGAATTAGGTTTTATCACAGTTAATTCACGTCACAATTTTAAGCTCTAAGTTTTATAACTCAAACCTGGTCATTTAGTCCTAAATGTTGTCAGTATTCATAAAGAGACAGTTAAGCAGGTAACTGAATTATTAAACAACGAGGTTGATAAATTTAATTCTCAAACTATTTTAAAGCACTTTTAAATCTTTGTAAAATAACAGAATGAAACTAAATTTATAAGATTATTTTTAAATCTAAAAATCAGTTTGCTCCCTTTTAATTTTAGGATTCTGTTTTTGACAAAAGAACATGAAAGGTGGGAACAAAACATAGAAATTTGTATCTTACTGAAGTCCCGTACAGAAACGGAAAGCTCAGAATGTCTCCCTACTTGATGGGTTTGCACACTAAGGTCTTCATCTGTGGAGTCAGCGAGAGCTTTAAAATAGCAAAAGCAGAAGCAGTTAAAATATGGCTACCTGGCCCAGACAAGAGCCTTGAAATTAGAAATATATTATGTCAAGATGACTGGGTTGGGTAGCTTACTCCCCACTGATGATGGAAGTGCTTTTCTGTCTTCTTTCCTCCTCTGACAGGGAGAGAGCATCCGTATTGTGGAGCCAACTGATGAAGGCAATAAAAAGCTCCCGTAGGTCCTGTGGAGCGCACCTGCTATTCTTCGCAACACGGTCTATTCCCCATCCATTCTTACCCAGCTCTGACTTTCTTCCTAACCAACAGATATTAAATTCACTCTGGATTTCCACATGTAAACTGTAGCTGATATCACTGCCTGATGCTCTGGGAGGGCTCTAGGGTGTATGTTTTACTTGACAAAGATGAAATGTTCCGAGTCGACATACTATGATACTGCACTCTAAGACACTTGCCAAGCCATAGCTATCAATTCCACCACACACGTAAAAAATTACAAAGTGCTACCTTGTTTACTGTAAGGAAATTCCCATATATTACATACGTTCCCCAAATTATGAAGATGAAGTCTTAAATAGATCTCTATTATAATAGATGAGCTATAACCCCAGTTAATAGATAATAGACAAAATAACAAAACTTGCTTCTATCTCTTTAATCTTAAATGAATAAAACAAAAAATGTTTTTACCTTATGGCTACTCTGCACATAAAGACTATAAACACACACACACACACACACACACACTTTCAACTAAATTCTAAGCTAACTGTTCAAACCAAATACATGACACCTTGCTTTAAGAAAAACTAAAACAAAGACATTTTTGGTGTTGTTCTTAGAATGGTTTTGAGCCTGGCTGAAAAGTCTAATTGGTCCTAACTCTTTGTGCCATCAGTACTTACACATACATCCAACTCACTTCTAAGTCAACGGTTCAAACAAACTTTCTTCAGAAACTGTGTCCTGCCCTCTGCACCACTTTCACCAGGTACGTGGACTTGACTCGTGATTTAAAAACTAGGAATGATCAAAAACACTGGCTTTATTTTAAACTCAAGACACTGGGGAGAATTTAGGGGTTCAGAAATGGAAACAAGCTGAAGAGATGGCTCAGTGAGTACATGCTTATAATAAAGAAAACACGCAGTCAAACATGTAGATAGAGCATTGTATACATAATAAATAAATAAATGAACAAATATTTTTTACAAAAAAAAATAGAAAGAAAAGGGGGAGTGCAGAAATGGCTCCATAGTTACGAGAACTTGCTGCTCTTCCCGAGAAGCCAAGTTTGATTTTCAGCACCCACATGGTGAGTCAAATCCACCTGCAACTCCAGTTCCAGGGGATGTGGTGCCCTCTCCTGGCCTCCTCGGGCACTAGGAACTGGCACAATGTGCATACATACATGCACATAAAAGAAAAATTATATGTATTAATACATCTTTTTTTGGTTTCTCTGTAGCTTTGGAGCCTGTCCTGGAACTAGCTCTTGTAGACCAGGCTGGCCCCGAACTCACAGAGATTCGCCTGCCTCTGCCTCCCGAGTGCTGGGATTAAAGGTGTGCGCCACCACCGCCCAGTTTAATAGAAGCCTTATGTGGTGGCACATACTTTAATCCCAGCTCTTGGAATTTAGAGGTAGAAGGATAAAATGTTCAAGGTCACCCTTAGCTATATATCAGCCTCGAGACCAGCCAGGGCTACATGAAGCCTTGTTTCAAGAAAAAAAAAGAAAAATTAAAATAAAGACCTTTTCAGTGTTGCTGTTGGGATGGTTTTGAAGCTGGTCGAAAAGCCTGACTGGTCCCAACCCATTGCAGCACCGGTGACACCTCCTCTGTGCTGCTGGCAAATCTGTCTGCCTGACTGGCCAATTCAGCTCTGCAACCTCAGCTGGGAGAAAAGAAATGTTCATTGTTCGTTTGATTCCAATCCCAGGCTACTCATTCATCAGTCTGACTTTGCTATATAGGATTTTGAATTTTTAAGCAAATAATAATCACCTCTCTTTCATATGCTTCCTTTCCCATAATCCACTAGAGGAAATGGATAGTAACAACTACTACAATGCAATTAATCACAAAACCATTTATCAATCAGAGAGAAACCACTCCTGAATGAGCAATTTTCCAATACTAAAACTCTAATTACACCTGGCACACACACCAGGCCAGGATCATTTTCAAATAGGAAGCCAAAAAGTGCTTGAAAAACAAAATGGCAGTGTGTGTGTGTGTGTGTGTGTGTGTGTGTGTGTGTGAACATATATGCGAACAGGACAGTCACATCTATACATTACACTTCTATAGAAGACCTGTGAACTCTTTCTGAGACTGCTGGAGTCGACGCAGCAGGGATACCCAGAAGCCAGGACTCCCCAAGTCCTCCTGCAGTGACTGGTACACACCCACTTCAGCTACAGCGTGTTTCGCTCTGCTCATGGCACATAGCTTTGTGTAGAGATAGTGGAGGCTAACTCCTGCAGGACCACAGAAAAGCTCACTCCCTCTTACTGACATGGGAGAACAGAACTGCTTCTCTGCCACACGGCCTGACCAGACAAGGAAACGACCCTCTGTGAAACGTAAAGAATGTGACCAAGAGCTGAGTGGCAGCATATGGGGCTTTGACTACTAGACAGAGTTGAACATTTCAGCTCTCCTCCTGTGCATTTAATAATAATTTAAACAACATCAAAAGAAATTACCAGACATCACCATCACCTGTATACTGAAATATTTCCATTCTGATTTATACTTCTCACAGTCTGAGCTGAACTTATGATGAAAGGGGTAACTATCTTTCAGCTACAACCTTTACTGACTCCTTCAAACTTAGCCACTTGAATAAGAATACAGTAATTAACAAAATTTAAATTAAAATTGTATTAGCTACACGAACTCTGGAGGATCAGAATTTAAATAGTATTAGGTTTTTATTTCAACTAAATATTAATTTATCAAGTAAGTTTCATATTACTAAGCTACACATCTATGCTATTATTAAGACACTGCTCAGGTCGGGCAGTGGTGGCGCACACCTTTAATCCCAGCACTTGGGAGGCAGAGGCAAGCAGATCTCTGTGAGTTCGAGGCTAGCCTGGTCTACAAAGCAAATTCCAGGAAGTTAGGACTGTTACACAGAGAACCCCTGTTTCAAAACATAAAAAGGACATTGTTCAAATAAATATATGTTTGCCTTCAGTTCACATGCTAATACAAGCAATATGACTCAAACAGTTGGCGTCATCAAGATTGTATGAGAAGCTGGGTATTAGTGCACACCTCTAATCCCAGCACTCAGGAGGCAGAGGCAGGGGGATCTCTGGGAGTTTGAGGTCAGACTGATCTACAGAGTGAGTTCCAGGGCAGCCATGGCTATCTAGAGAGACCCTGTCTCAAATTAAAAAAAAAGAAAAGAAAAACAAAAAGACAAATTGTTTGAGCAAATGCTGCTGTTTAATATTATTATCTAAAACTTACCTTAAGGTATCTTTATAAAGATAATCTGCTGTGTTAGATCTATACATCTTAAAGGAAAAGTAAATTAAGAGAGATTTAAATGTCTATTTGTACCCTGATACTCTACAATTTCAAAGATGAGTCATTTATTTCTACCCTTTAAGAGCTCGCATCTATTGGAAAACGTAAGAAATAAATGTACACTTAGCACAGCCTGGACATGTGTGTACTATGACAAAGGGACTAACATCACTGACTCAGGCAAGTTCAGCGTGGCCAGACCAATCTTCCAGAAATTCTAACTGAGACAAGAGGACAGGTGTATAGCAATGCACATAGCATTCTTATCAGACACAGGTCAGTCTATCTGAGCATGGAGAACATTTAAAATTTACTGACATGTACATTTCTAATTCTCTATTCTTTAGTGTGGGCAAAATAATCTAATAAAGAACATGTACTAATGACTTTCAGTAAAAATTTGCCAATGACAGTTTTAATGTTTCTCAACACAGGCATTTTGAGGCTGAAGAGATGGTTCAACCGTTAATAGCAACTGTTCTTCCAGTGGACTCAAGTTCCCAGCATCAGGAAGATTCCATCCAACCATAACTCTAGCTGCAAAGGATGCAACCCCTCTTCCAGACTCAAGGGTACCTGTACTCACACATGCACATACATACGCACACGTGCAACTAAAAACAAAACAAATCTTTTAAAGTCATTCTGTTCTTAGCTTCACCTCACTTATAAGGATAGCCTTCTTGAAACAGGCACACTCCCCTTCATAGCAAGATTAAAACATTATGTCACCCTAAAGAAGTCTGTTACCGCATAAGCTAACGTAAAAGATTACACCATTGATTCATGGTGTAATGTCCGTTGAGTTTAACAACAAATTTTAGCCTGAAAATTCATTTTCCCATTTATCTTTTAACTTACCATCGGGATTTCGATCTATCCATCAGAAGCAATGCAAAAGACAGTGGAAGAGAGAGAAACTAATTATCCATGGTAAAGCTACAACACGAATCTGAAACACATCTGTTTAAAACATAATTTAAATTCACAAGAATAGTACATACACCCCTGAGAAAACAAAAGCCTTATTTGAAGAGCAAACCCTAAGTAAATGAAATTCAACAATGTGTTTGCACCTCTGGTCTCAAAAGTCCTTGAGAATATCACTCCAGTATGAACGTGGTTTAAAAAACAGTATTGAAGTGACATGAGGAACATGAAGTGAGATGCAGAGACATAATGCTAATATTTCCAGTTCTTTCTTCTCATGATAGCTATAGCTACTGCTCTGAAGCAATGCTAATTCGGGCTCTGAGGCCAGTCTTTTTGTTCTTATTTTACACACTTTCAATGTTAATTTATGAACCAAATCATGCCTAGACTTCTGCTTTACCAATAATTTATAATATTCTAAGTTCTACCCATAAGAAAGAAATGTGAACAAAATGGTAACTGTAACCACAGGGCTCCTGGCTGATTTCACATGACTTGAATGTCCTTTTGAGTGTGCTGTCCACAACGCATTAGCTATTCCTTTTTTTTTTTTACAACCAGTATCACTACTTTTCATATTAATGACAGAACTGTGTAAACTCAGAGATCAGCCATGCTATGACCTACTGTGCAATACGGGAACGGTTACTCAGACGTTAATGATAAAAGATCTAGAGGTAGCGGCAAAATATTTATTTTTGTGTCTCAGAACTCAAAGTAAAAACAACATTTAAAACCTCAACAACCTTTTCAGAAATCACCAAAAAGTCTGCCATCCTTCAACTCTTTATCAAGTTTTCGCTTCTCATGAAATCAAATCTGCATAAGCAAACAAGCGATTATTCAGCCCTAAGGGTTGAGAATTTGAGAAACAGATAAAGTGGTCACTGCTGGATAAAAACAAACATCGAGAATGTTTAAATTAAAGTACTCCAAAAAAGCAAACAAAACTTGGTTTTTTAAATACACCTAAGCTACAAAATTATATCAGAGCATCAACAACTTCCAGTGAATAACAGGAGGATTCACCGGAGAATACAGTGATGAGCGAGGCCAAGGCAGCTAAGTGTAAAACCATGGAGACCCTGGGTTTTTAAACTATGTGACTATTTAAATGGAAAAATAAGCCTTAAACTGTCCAGAAATGCTTTTAAAACACAAATATGATTGCTGCAGTATCTGGGTAACAGCTCTACTACCCTGAAATATCTTTTAAAGCAGTACCTACTAATGTTTATTTTCTAACGATCAGTTGACATCAAACTGTTACTATAAAATAACTGCCACACAAGAAAGGAAAAGACAATCATACCAAAGTCAACTACGTGGGTTGTATCCAGAGTTAAAAAAGCTATCTAAACTCAAGAGTGGTTTAATGCTACAGTAACCTAGTGCTTTTTCACTAATTCATACCGGCTTTTAATTTAGATCATGAAGCATGATCTGGAGAACATTTTTAGTGTAATAAAAATACATCATATTTGTTATGACGGGAAAGGAGAGGACGGTACACATGGAAGTCAAATGAACACACTTTACATTAACACAGTACACGAAAGTGAGAGAAACAGTAATTAGCAGCAGAAAAGAACATTCTTTGGTTGTTTGCTTTTCTATCTTAAACACTTAAGTCATTTAACTTAAATTCGATTTATAAATTTATAAATCATGTTATGTTTTACCTGTTGGTTTGGAATAAGAAACAACCGCATTTCCTTCTAATTCGGATGGTATGTAACTTCTCTTCAGGTAAACAGAAAATGCTACCGTGCTGGTCATATCTGGTGCTATAGGAAATATGAAAATTATACATGTTACATGATGGGGCAACTATTAACAATAATAGTTACATATAGCATTTACTTCATGCTGGGTACTTCAATAAGCACTTGAGACAGCCACTCATACAACCTTCACAGAAACACTGTGAGGGAGACACCGTTATCACCCAACTTTTTAGATATGTGGTGATCAGAGTACAGAGGTCAGGACCAAGGTTACACCATCACCATGAACCGGGAACTGAGGCCATACAAGGTATCGCGCACTCGTCACCCCTACATCTCTTTACCTGAGTTGAGAGGCAGAGAATATGAGGGAATTAAAAGGGACCAGAAAGTCTGGGGAAACAGTACTCTGTGGTGGCTAGACAAAGTCTGACTGGGACTGGATACCGGTGACGGGTGAGCAGCTCTACAGACCACCCTGGCCTCCTGGGTTGGCGTACGGGCTGCCAGCCTTTACTCCAGACGCCTAAGAGTTTACCTAGAACAAAAAGTTTCCCATGATAATTTTTATAAGGATAAATAGAAAGACAAGAAGAGTCACAGGTTAAGACACTTCCGTCACACCCAAAACCTGAGCTCTACCTCCAGGACTCATATGGTAGGAAAAAGCTTCATTCTAGCAAGTTCTCCTCTGGCCTGCAAACCATGGCAAGCATACACACATGAGAACACAAACCAAAAGTAAATATTAAAAATCAAGGTAATAATTTGTGAAAGAAAACATAGTAAAATTTTTTAAATAATAAAAAAGATAAATTGAAAATATTGTTTAAAAAAAGAAAAAGAAGCCAGGCATGGTGGGATACACCTTGAATCCTAGCACTCTGAGTTTAAGGCCAACCTGATCCAAACAGTGAGTACTAGGACAGCCAGGGCTATGCAGAGAGACTCTGTCTCAAAATAAATAAATAAATAAATAAATAAATAAATAAAAGAAATTTTTAAAGTTAACTAAGAGATCATTCTCATTGGACTAAAGACAACTTACAAGAAGTTCAAGTGGAATTCTTTACAAAGAACCCTTAATAATCACCATTTATGACATGTTTACTATTTTATATATTACTACAGTCTTCATATAATTTCATTTTCTAATTAAATCTTAAAAAAAATCCTATCATGTAGCTATTATTACTCTCTGTTTACCAGTTAAAATAATAGGCACTAAGTACTAAAATAGCTTGCCCAAATCATGCATCAAGCAGTGTAGGAGTTAGGATTCAAATATGGACCAAATCCATAGCCAGCAGTTCGTCTTCAAATGTCACCTATTCACTACAGGAGACACTAAGGAAACGCCATTAAAGAAATGACTTCCAGGGCTGAGGACATAGCTCAGTTAATAGAGTTCTTACCTTGTAGGCATGAAGCTTCAATCCCCAGCAACACAAACAGACACACACATGCACACACACACACGCATGCACACACTCAGAGAGAGACAGAGAGAGAGATAGTCGTCCACATTATAGTATTCAAATACAGTAACAGATATACCTAGTAAAGGAATGTACTTAGAAATTCATAATCTAAAAATAATTTATCAAATCTCCACAAATGGCACACGAAGGGAAATAGCTGTGAAACACTGCCACCACGGATTTCCCAGCACAATCTCAGTGCTGCTATTTAGAAAAGAAATACAGCCATGAATTAAGCGCACTGCTGAAAAGCCTCGTGCCGCAGGAAACACCAGAACAGACAGGAGCCCACCTGTGAAGTCGAAGGTGAACTGATCACACGTGGACACTAGTGGGGGCTGCACGTAGAGGGACAGCTTCACCTTCTGCAACACCACTCGGTTCTGCAGGGTGATCTGAAGACACACAGATTATTAAGGTTACAAAAGTCTACTTTATCCAAATTGGCAAACTACTACAACCAACTCAAAGTAATTAACAAATAACTAGGAAACCTGGTAAAACATGTCTAACAGTTCACAGCAAAAAAAAAAAATCATAATAGCTAAAGAATATAAATAAGTCAAATGTCCATCTCAATGGGCAACCAAACCATGGTCAATACCACAAAGTAATATTCAGAAAAAAGAAATGAAACTGACACATAAACTATGAAAAATATTATATTAGGTAAGAAAAAAACTAGTCACAAATAATCGCATACAGTATAATTGTATTCACATAAAATGTATGGCTCCCCTTCCCCTGTAAGCTCAGGAACCGCCTCAGAAAAGGGAGCAGAAATACATTTTGAGCTAGAGGCTGGGAAGACAGGAACAAAACAGTGTCTCTGAACATAGCAGAACCACTGCGCACATGAACTCACAGCAGGTATGGTCACCTGCATACAACCTGGATAAGATCAAGTCAGTAAACACTCCAGCATGGAGCAGAAAGGAGTTCACAAGATTCCACCCTGAGCTGAGGAGAGAGGGACAGCTGGTGGCTTCTGAGACATGGAGAGACAGTTTTCTTTAGAGGTGGAGGTTGGCCATGCTCCAGTAGAGGGCCCTTATCTATGAGTATATGGGCAGAACAAACTGAACATAGTGGTCTATTAAAAAAAAAGACTACAGAAGGTGTGGGTGGGTACAGATCAGAGATGGGAGGCGTGTACAGGATCAACCTACACTGTATAAAATCCTCCATCAATTAATAAAAACATTATATCAAAAATTTACATAGAAAAACCCTACCTCCAAAACACCCAAAAAAATCTATCTAAATTTTCAATAAAATAAATAGAATGAGCAAACTCTGCAAAAAATTATATAGATTGGCACTTGTCTCAAAATAAAAGAGATAAAAAGAGACAATTGATGGCTATTGCCATTTCTTTCAAGGAGTAAAAAAGGTTCTAAAATTAGGTGGGGTGAGGTTAGTCAAATCTGTAAAGATGCTACAAACCACTGGGAACCAAATAATTATATATATGATATCTCAGAGTATAAAAGAAAGAAAACGGTTGTTCTCATCTGTATTGAGAAACTGCATAATGGCATAAATGTGTTTGTTCTTTCTTTAAACACTTGTACTATTATGGATTATTTATCTTATCTAGTATCAATATACTTATTTTTACAAAGAGCAATTATTCTGATAATTTTCTCACTTAAATGGATTTATTATCACCCTAGAGCATATCAAAGCACTGCATTTTCTACTGTGGCTAATCACAAAAATACTATGACATACCAGTTCTAGACTATCAAAGAATAAACCTGTAAACCACTCTGTTCTTGAGGGATTAAAATTCCAAACTGCTGATCTTACTTGGCAATGCTAAGAAATCCTACCCCTGTCAAACCAAAAGCTAAGATCTGTGGGATAATAATTAGCCCAGAAGACGATGTGGGCACAGGAGGCCAGGGTGTCTCACTGTCTCCTGAAGTGGTGTCCGTAGTAACATCAGGCCTGAGCATCTTCACTGGGGTACAGTGCCACATGTCAGTGAGGGCACATCAAAGAATGATACACCAGCTTTGCATTGGGTGTCTTCTCTTGTTGGTTTTGATTTCCTACAGGCTTCAGCCTCTTGGAATTGTCTGTGTTAGATGACTTTGTCTATTAGTAGACAGCCAACCACCAGTCTAGGCAGGGTCACTCAGATCTGGAGGCAGACTCAAGTGTTGAGATTTCTATACCTCCTCGGGTGATCCTTGTATACAACCTGGAAGGACTGGTGGGTTGAAAACATTCTTCCTTGTGTTTTCTTTGCTACAGAACAGTTCAATCTAGTTACTAGATTCTACCTACCACACGAGATAGATACATGCCATTGTTAACAGACACAGTGCAATAACGTCTTCATTATGAAGAAATCTATTTTGATTGGTCTCTTAAGTAAAAGGCATGCATCACTTGTCCCTCAATCACACAAATATATTAATATAAAATCTCCAAAAATGTATAATTGACCTAAAAACATAATGTGCCTACAGTTAAAGTCGGCAAATGTTATGATCAATTTTAAGTGATGTTCTCTAAACAACCTCAAAATAATCCAAACAAAAATGTTTTCAGATGTAAAGTAATGGTTTTAAGAGAAAATTATTGAAGCAAATATATATGATAAAAAAAATTCTTGGATTTTTATTGCAAAAACCCTGCACAAGGTACCCGGCACACCAGAAACAAAACTTCCTCGGCAATGCCTGGCCATTTAGCCAACACCCTCAAGGTGACTGTGGCAAAAAGAAGCTGTGTGAGTGGAGCACATGACGTCTTTCAGATGGCCAGCTGACAGCGTCTTTGAGATGGCCAGCTGGACTAGTAAATTAACAGGATACAATTAAGTATTCTTCTATTAACAATAACACAATGTTCTCCGCATACATATAATTAAATGTAATAGCCACAGTGGCTTTCTAGATTCATAAAGCATGCTTGTGAGTGATTTGTGTGTCTTATCTCATATAATCTTCACAGCTAAGGGAAACAAGGACCAACGCACCGCATCCTACAAGACAGAAAAACTACGGTGCTGAGAGCTGAGCACTTCTTCCTGAAGTCACTAATTAAAAGGGAGAGAAGTGTAACTGAACTGCTCTCTACCAAAACCCAGGGCCCGGGTCGTAATTAACAGTAATTAAATCATGAATAGCTTTATAAATAAAAGGTTCCCATTTTACACCTTAGAACTGCACTGTAGAGAAGGTAAACAATACGCAACCCCGCCAAGGCAGTGGGTACCAGGACTGAAACCCGCCCTCAGGAGCATCATGTGAGCATGAGAGCGACAACTCCCTGTAGTAATAACAAACTGTTGGGGAAGGAGCAGACAGCCTGACTCTGCTGGCAGAATGATGGCGGCTTAGACAGCAATCACACAATCTCACATTGTTACAAGAGGGTGTGCATCTGGGTTAGATGAACAACCGTGATAGCTCCCACATCAGATTTATTGAATCCAACAATGGTCGAGGCACTTTCAAAGCACAAATCAAAGAGATATGACAAAAATAACTACAGTAACAAAGAATAGTTGTTTGTGAGCCAAAAAGTGAATTAAAGACTTGGCTAAATCATAAGCCTCATATTTTAAAAGGAAAATAATTGTAGAATATTAAGGAGAAAATATAAAATGTTAATACAAGAACTTTCCATGCCATTTTCTGATTCTAAAGAAATAAAATATAATCCTTGGGAAATATAATACCAAATGTTTACCCTAGGTATATAAATACGCCTGCCAGGCCAGGTATGAACAAGCACTCTGCCTGTTGCCTGGAACAGATGGTCACGCATCATGCACACATACTCAAGGTAGCCACATCTTCATTCATTCGGAACGGATGGAAAAATTTTCTCAATTAACTGGATTTATTATGATGGAAACTTTACTGGGTATATATCTTGGCTGCTGCTGTTAGAAAAGGCCATAAGGAGAGATTTACAGCAGAAATTTGTATAGAGACTATCAGACAGAATCAGGAAATCCTGCTGTCTGCTGTGTAAGTCTGGCACATGTCATGTGACTGGGATGCCATGGTCTCTCTTCTACCTTTATCACAGCACTAAGAAGAAGAGGTGTGATCAAGGCACAGTTAATGGAAGAAACTTTCCAGAAGTCGCGTCATCACCTTAGAGTGGCTGGTGCAGATGAAAGTCTAGAAAACGTGTGGGAGGGAAAGGTGTGTCCACCAATAGCGATGACCCCTGCAAGACGGGGAGGACGAAGACACGGACAGGGGTATCTGCTTTGGGCAAAGACTTCTTTCGGCAATGCAGTGAGATCCTTGAGTGTGGCACAGCCGTGTCTGAACAAAACCATTACACAGATCTAAAACAGCCCCGTCCACAGACGTATAGGTCACTCCCGCACCTCTGCAATTACTTCTTTCTTAAGTGTTTGATTTCTTGCCATTAATGCCTTTCCAGAAGGGTCTGTGATTGGGGAAGGGAAGGGAGGTTGGGGAAAGACCACCCTTGTTTCCAATGGCAAGAATCCAAAAAAACTTAGCTTAGGAAAGAGTTCTAAGATGGGGCTTGCTTCAGCCTCACCAAAGATCTCCACACTTGGGCCACCCGCTGGGCCAGTGTAAGCGAACACAATTGCTAAAGCCTCCTACCTTGTTAAGCTTCTCCAAGGACAGCAAGCTATAATCTGAGCAAACAGAAACTTGGTCCAAGTTTTGACTAAATGAATCGCCAAGATCCACAACTTTTCCTGGCTTCTAACGTCTGGACAGTGATAAATATTTCCAGCTTAATAACGTGCTGACCGATTACCACACTTTAAGTGCCTTAAGAACACGCCACATTTGAGTTCTCGCTCTGAAACTCTACAGTGACTATACCAAACCTCTTAACCAAAACTACATCATTCATGTCCTACTTTTCCAGACTATCAATTTGTCATTACTCTATAGCCTCTTCATTTCACATCTTCTTGCCATAAATGCATCCATTTAAGGCTAATGTCATAGCAGATAAATACCTGAGAATTCTTTAAAACACATGTGTAATCATAATAAAAGAATTATGCTAATATACATGTACATCTCCAATATCCCTTCACAATCCATACATGACGCTACAGTCAAGTGACTGGCTTATAACTGGATGGCAATAACACAACTTAAAAGTCTTATAAAGAAAACTTTGTAAGTGACAACCTTCATGAGACTTTTAAGTCTCCTAAAGAAAACTTATTTCCAGAAAAAAGAGCCCATATCATGCTATGCTCTTAAAGAAGGGATGAGAAAAGTCTAACACCTTTTCATATCTATATGATTTTTTCTATAAATGTAATTATAGCTTTTATATTTGAAGGAAACAACAAAGGCTTTCTATTCACTACCAAAAGTGAAGAAAACAGGGATTTAAGCATTTATTTTCCATGTCAATAAACACAGGAAAACAGCAGTGACAAGAGCAATGAAATACACAGTGCTGCCTGCACGCTGTGGTCTACAGCTGGTGCCGTACCTTCACTGTGATGGACGGAACAGAGTCAGCTCCAACTTCAACATTAGTGGCTTGCTGCAAAGACAGAATTGAGAAAAGTTTTCCAACTGACTTCAACAGTAGTAAAACCAAGTGAATATATTGGGTGAAACAGACATTCCCCACCGTCACCAGGAAACTAACTAAAGGGTGGATCACTCCAACGACAGTCTAAGAGTCCTGAGGACATTTTGGAAATGTTCATGTAGGAAAGCATGAATGGTATTTAAAACCGACTCATCAAAAAGGAAAGAAGGGTTAGGCAACCTTGTTCACTTGAATGTTGAAAGTATTAATGTTACTAACTATATGGACAAATCTCTCCTAGTAATTCCCATAGAAACATTATGTTACAATATTATATGAAAAGCATACTTTATTCAGGTTAATATTTTGTACATAAGATATGTAACTAAGATTATAATGACTGTGCACAGTGAATAAATAAAATCTAGTGTATATTTTATTCAAACTTTTATATAAAACCAATAACTACTTCTAAATAGAGATCATTATGATGCCATGGGCATATGAAGAATTAAGAGCTGAGAAATTCATATTCTACCTACAGCTCCACAGGACATGATGTTAGAACCCCGATAAAGCTGTTCCCTGAGGAAGATGAGCTGGTGGAGATCGTCTCCACTACCAAAGACCCTATTCAAATAGAAAAAATTTCCTTGATTTCAGAGATTTGCACTTTTAAACTAGTGATTCAAATAAACATTAATCCAATCTTTCTGCTCTAGTACTACGTTACCTACAGGCAGGAAATAACTTCACATTTCCCCACAGATTTAGAAGGAAGCATCTCATGTTTCCTCTTCAACCCTTATTTAAACACCTAGACATTTCAAGGACAGTAGTATCTGGGGAATATAAGGAGTAGCCAGAGAAGTGACTGTAAGAAGACATCATGGCTCCACAGCCACATAAACTGTCAGGTTAATGTTTTCCAGTAGAGTAAGTATGATAGTCTAAAAATTCTTAAGAAAAAAAATGCCAGCCAAGGCTACACAGAGGAACCTTACCTCGGCAAAATATATATATATATGTGTGTGTGTGTGTGTGTGTGTGTGTGTGTGTGTGTGTGTGTGTATGTATAAAACAAAGGAAATGAAGAAGGAAATACAACAAGACAGAGAAAATGAAGTAGGATTCAGCAAGACAGAGGAAATGAAGAGGATGTACAGCAAGATAGGAAATGAAGCAGGAAAGCGACATCAATGAAGAAGAAACAGCACCCGAAGTTACCAATCAGGGAACATACATTACAACATGTAGACCAAACTGTTCCTAAAGACAGAAACAGAATTGCTCATTCCAAATAGTCTATGTTTCAGAGAGAGAGCCTAGAAACAATTCTATGAGGTGCCAACATAGGAGAAAGGAGACATTTTCATAGTAAGAAAATGTGTGAACATCCGTCAGCTAACTAAGTTCCTCTCACACTACACCCTTCAGGTAGGGTGAAAAACGGTGTCTGCAAAAGGGCAAACATTTCATACAGAGGCTCTACTGTGAGAGGGAGCTGGGCCAATGTTTCTTTCATAGTGTGTTACTGCCGCTTTTAACTGCACCTAATGCACTATACCATAGCAACATGAACATGATTTTTACCATAATTTGAGTTGGCTGGTTATACAAAAGTTAATCTTTGAAGGCTCTGACAACCACTTGTTATATTATGCTATGATACTTAAATAGCAAACACATTTCCAAGGCAAAATTATATGATGATATCAACTCTAAATGCAGAAAATGTCCAAGTTCAGGCACTAAACTGATCAAGTTTGGACAGAGATACATATAAACTTAATGAATCCCATACAGACCTCAAGCAACGCGACATAATTATACACAGAAAAGTGCTCTGTGGGAGAGTAAATAAGGATATGAAGGAATGGTCCCTTCAGCCTTCCTGTTTCTCCATTTTAATCAGTCTCAGAGCAACAGATAGAGAGCACCCGATACACAGCAAGTCCGAAGGGTGTGGTCATGAGCAAGATGAGTAGTGGGGAATGGGAGGAGATGGTGGTAGTGATGTTGGAAAAACATAGTGTAAGTCAGGATAATGACACTGGTAACAATTCAACAAACCGATTCCAGCAGAGGGAAAAAACGATTCCTGGACCAGCTATCTGTGTGTGCTACACTCTCACCCTCATTGTATCTGTGTGTGCTACACTTTCACCCTCATTGTATCTGTGTGTGTTATACTCTTACCTCATTGTATCTGTGTGTGCTACACTCTCACCCTCATTGTATCTGTGTGTGCTACACTCTCACCCTCATTGTATCTGTGTGTGCTACACTCTCACCCTCATTGTATCTGTGTGTGTTACACTCTTACCTCATTGTATCTGTGTGTGCTACACTCTCATCCTCATTGTATCTGTGTGTGTGTTACATTCTCACCCTCATTGTATCTGTGTGTGTGTTACACTCTTACCTCGTTGTATCTGTGTGTACTACACTCTCACCCTCATTGTATCTGTGTGTACCACACTCTCCCCTCATTGTATCTGTGTATACTACACTCTTATCTCATTGTATCTGTGTATACTACACTCTTACCTCATTGTATCTGTGTATACCACACTCTTGCCTCATTACTACAGTGATACAATATACTCATTACTCTAGACTACAAATCATCAAACTTGAATATAGACCGCTCAAAAGCATTGCCTCATTAAACCTTTCTTTTCCAAGTGTTACTAATTCCTACTTTATATGCATGGGTGTTCTGTCTGTTTGTATGCAATGCTTGTGTGCCCGGTGTCCACAGAGGCCAGAAGAGGGCATCAGATCCCCTGGAAATGGAGTTAAAGATAGTAATGGGCAGCCTGCTGGGTGATGAGAACCAACATGGATCTTCTGACAAAGCAGTCAGCGTTCTTAACGACTAACCAGGTCCCCAGCCCCACCTCATTAACTTTCTAAAAGATCAAGGAGACATGTTCAGTAATATGGTACTGAGAAGACTTAAGAAACTTTCTGCCCCTCACCTCTCACTCCTTTTGTAAACAAACCCTTCTAAAACACTCCTTTCTGGCACTAAGAAAATAGGGGTGGTTCTCAATCTGTGTGGGTCAAATGACCCTTTCACAGGGGTCACATATCAGATATCCTGAATTTCAGATATTTATATTATAATTCATAACAGTAGCAAAATTACAGTTATGAAGTGGCAAAAAGATATAACTTTATTGTTGGGAGTCACCACAACATGAAGAACTGTCTTAAAGAGTAGCAGTATTTATTAGAAGGTGATGAAACATTGGTCTAGAAAGTAACAAACTCTGAAATGTGTTATCATTTCATAAGTTCCTACCAAGGAGCCCAGAATTTAAAGCAATTTGAACACAGTTCAGAATCTCTAAGTATACCTACAGACACAGAATCAAGGCTGGAGGAGACTACTGCGGAGACTTTCAAGTCATCTTCTCTTTCAGTCATGGGCCAAACACCTGCAATTAAAAAATAAATCTAATCATAAAGTAAAACTGTTATATACAATTTATAACAAAAACCAAATTGTAAACAAATTGTTGAAGATGTAATGAATTATAGAATCAAAAGGTTATGCTAATTCTTCCCTTGATAACACTTTGAACAAAAATTGCTTTCCTCCAGTACTACCTAAGCACTGAGCCAATAAGCACCCAGGACTGGGACTTACAGTCTCTCTCTGCTAGAGAAAGCTGAACTGGTACAACCTGCTGGAAAGAAAGTCATCTGCGACTATCAGGATGCAAAATGTAAAGGTCTTCTGACAGCAACTGCACACCCAAGAACTCGCTGTGCACAGGCACACCCAAGGAGGGGCTCTGGTATTAATAATCGATAAAATCTGAAATGACTTGCATATCTATGTATCTTTATAAGATGATTAAATAAAATATGAATATTCATATTATCCAAAGGTCCAGAGCAGTAAGAATTTCATTAACCCATGTAAACTGACATGAAATAATTCAGATATACCTCTTAATATTTTAAACAGCAAGATGTAAATCTAACATGAGCTTATTTGTGTAAAAGTTATACATAAGACTTCATATTTTTTAAGAAATACTCAAAACTCAATAAAGCTTGTAGCCAAAGTCTGAACTATTTTACAAATACCATATACACATACAGATACCCCACACACATATATACATATACTAATACACATATAATATACCACAAACACATACATATACCACATACACATACCTCAAACACATACATCTGATTTAGCTAGGGCTGACTGTGTCCCTCAAAGTCCATCTCTTTGAAACTTGGTCTCAGGTTCTACAGTGTTAAGGAGTGGCAGGATCTTTAAGGGTAGGAGATCCTTCTGTTACTGAGGGCACTGCCCTCAGAAGAAACGGATGCATCATTCCTATGACCCCAGTTAGTTCTCACAGAGGCTTGTTATGAACAGGACAGACCTCGCCCCGCCTTCTTCCTGTGTCCCTGGTTTATAATGTACATTTTCCCTCACACATACTTCTGCCCTACCATGCAATTTTTCTGAAGTACTACTAAACACAAACCTGGCTTGGATTCATGCCCTTGAATCTCTTACAACTGTTAACTAAATAAAACTTTCCTTCATAAATGCTTAGCTGAAAGCCTTTTGTAAGAACAGAAATTCATACTATTGCCCTAATTTTAAATGTTTATGTTGTACAAAGAAATATTACAAAAAGCAAGTTATTCTAAATAAGAAACAAATAATATTTAAGATGCATACATATTTATGTATATTCACACATATATGTGCTTAAATAATGTATATTAAGTAATAGATATATGTACATACAAGTGCACACATATCAGATAATTGACTTGACAAGCTAAGATCCACTCTTCCCTCATTTCTCTTTGTGGCCAAGCACTATTGTTGTGGCAGTGTTCAACTTCATACAGAAAATGATTCCTCTCCTGGCTCCAGGGTTAAATTTAATCATGGTAGTTGTTTTGGATGCGAACACAGCTCTTAAAATCCTCACCAATGGTATTGGGGCTGGAAAGGGGAGACATGCTTTTATGAAAGCTGTGTCTCCCTAAAAGGGGGATTCTGAAGAGCGGCCTTCTTGTCTGGAAATTCTATCTGCACACAATGCCTGGAGCACCTGTGGCTCCCAGGATTTCTAAAAGGGAAGATCCATTCATTGAGGATAGAGGATTGAGAACAGAAGGGCAAAGGGAGACGTGGCCAACTCAGGTGTCTCACGGCAGGATGTCCTAAACACCATGAGGTGGCTCTGTCATTACAGCAAAGTCTGGAAAGGACATTCTAGACCTAATAAGAATCTAAAGGGCAATCTGTTGGCCATTTAAGAAACAGTCTTTGCTTCTTCACTAAAGAAGCTCAATTTTGTCCAGAGCAGCCGCCAGCAAACCCTACTAAACTGGCCGGCCTATTTTGCAGATTGGAAGAGTCATTGAGATAAAAGCTGCTCAGGGTGTGGCTTCCAGGAAAGCTCCTTTGGGGGCTGACTTGGCTGCAGATGTGAGGCAGAGGTTCCAGAAGCATTCCTGAACCAAGACATGATCTGGAATAGAAGGATCAAAATTCCTGAAGAACTGTGGCGCCAACCCTGTACGGCCGACTACCTGGCTTCCTTTCCATGAGAAACAAACAAACCTCTCTCTGCTATCTGAGCTGCTGTATTCCGGCACTCTGTTCCATTGACCCACACACAACCGGGAATGAACAAAGTACAACTGTTCCTAGCCCTCAGAGATAACATCAAGTAAGCCGGCCCACACATATTCCAAATGGCATACAGACATATTTGTCTTGCCCATGTCTGTTTGCACTCTACTTGACTGAAAGCACACTGTTGGTACCTCTTGTACATGCCACACCCAATGCTTCACGGGTACACTAGGTAAAGAGTGTGTGATCAGGTGCTAAAGTCATACGGAAACTCCATCTCTTGAAAGTTCCCACTGAAAGACATTGGTGACTCTTCCTCATGGAAACACTTGGCAGAATTCACACTAGCACTCTGAATTTCAAAAGTTTCACCACATGCATAGAAAATATTGCTATAATTCCATGCTTGTAATATATATTCCTGATGTAAGTTACACACATAAAATCAGCTTCAAAAATTTTATTACAGAAGACATATACACCAACGTGTGCAACAAAATATCTCCTTTCCATTAGCTTTAGGCTTTACTGCAACCCCTTCTTAGATAAAGCTTTAAGTATGGAATGCAGCCTATAAAACAATGCACATTCTTTAAGTTAAAGGATGCCTTCATTAAACCCCTACCATCAGAGCTCAGGGAGGAATGCAGAAGAGGAGGCAGGGTGAGCATAGTGCCAGAGAGGACGGAGGATGCCAAGGGAACAGTGTCTTCCAGACACAACATGACGGACACACATATGAATTCACAGAGACTGTGGTAGCATGAAGAGGGGCCACACGAGTCCAAGCCAGATGAAGGCCCAACACCAAGAGGGGGAAGTAGACACAAGCTCCCAGCCCTAACCAAGAAGCTGTGTTCAACTGACAACCACTTGCAAAGGAAATAGTTTTCTCCAATGGAGGCTCACCGGGTATATAAACTTAAGGGCAGGCCCCACGCCTAGCTGAAGACAGTCAGTACAAAATGAACTCAATAGTATTGTAGAATTTTTGTCTCGTATTTCTTTGTTTGGGCATCTTTTACTGGAATTTTTCTTGTATATTACAGTTTCCAATTCTGTGTTTTCATGGGTTTCAGAGTGTATATATGTGTGTGTGATTCTCATATTTTTTTTCTTTGCTTTATTTTTGTTTTTTCATTATGGTTTGCTGGCTTTTGTATTTGACTATTTGGATTTTTTTTATAATGAGAAAGAGAAAGAAGGCATGGAGTTGGGTGGGTAGAGATTAGGAGGGGATGTGGGAGGAGATGGGGGAGAGAAAACTGTAACAAAAAAACATTGTATGAAACAATTTTTCATTTATAAATATTTATTTAACAAATTTATTTTTTAAAATGCCACTGTACAAAAGTATCACTAAAATGAATAATGAGGTCATCCAGAACTTCAGTATCCTGACTTTTCATGATCTATAATGAAATAATATGTCATTTCCTATCATTAAAAGTAGTTAGGTAAACAGGGATATCAAACTTTCACAAAGGAACAGAATATTAAGTATTCTTTATGTCTGGAGATAAAATAAAGCAAACAAATTTTTTCAAAAACTTTCTCTTTGTTTCTTTTTTTCGAAATAAAACCAAACAATGGTAGCACAAAAGTACAGAGAAGTTCAAACATTAACAGAATGCTGAGGTTATGTAAAAAATTAACTTTCATCAAAGTCTGTGGTTGCATTCCTAGCTTAAGTATTATAATCTAGAGTAGCCACGGTAACCATAAAGTAAAAGGCATCACGGCAGACAGTGGCCAGCTCTAGAGAGGAAACAGAGGATGCAGGTGCTGTCAGGGGGAGGTGGGGAAGCGGAAGTGATGATTCAACCAGGTTAGAAAGGTGGGCACTGTGGGGTGGTAAATAATACTAAGGATATTTGAAAAAGCTATTGCTTTATCCTGACATGAAAATGAATATGTAATGAACGTAAATGTGTGCATACATGTATATATAGTTTGGATGAAGTCAGACCAATTGTGGTGATGATGCTGAACGCAGGAGCTGCAGACAGGCTAGCAAAAAGCCATGCCAGGCGTGGGAAGCCTCTCCTGAGCTGTGGGAGTTTGAAAGTGTGAAGACAGAAAAAGGTTACCACCATGGCCTTGGGCTCCCTTCCAGAACTTGAAAGTAAGACACTATTTCTTAGTGATGAAGACATCACATATGTCAGACACAAGATGAAGAATAATCGAGCTGGAACTATCTGGAAGCCTCCTCCAGGAGGACTAACTCTTATTGTGTCTTAAGGTGCTACACAAGTGGCCAAGATAAACAATAATCAACAGTCCTTCCTAGCTGTGAGGCTTACAAACCACAAGGGTCAGTGCAGCAAGATGTCCCCAGGAGTGCAATGTGGCACCTAGAGCCAAGAGCCAAACACTTGGACTGAAGGTGTGCTCAATAGGAGGCAATTGTGCCTGGAGCTGTAAACCTGGGCAACTCCCTAAGGCTGGTGATGTCATGGAGCCGAAGGGAGAGCCTATGACGGCCACCTTGCTAAGATAGTATTATTTCTAACTGCGTCCAAAACCATATCCCTAAATCACAAATAAGCGTAACTTTCAGTCATCAAAGAAGCTTCCTTTTTTTGTAGCAGAGACCATCACAGAAATCCACAACTGGGAAAAATGCAGAAAATAACTACCGTGAGCCCGTTGCCAACTGCTATGTCTGCACCTCAACCCCTAAAGCTAAGCAGGGAACTGTGGAAGAGAAGTTTCAACTGTAGGAAGCAGAGGGCTGAGATGTCTGCTGCTGGACAGTGTCTTTAGCATACCTCAGGGAAGCTGTACCCAAGAAGTCTAAACAACAGTTCCCTAAACAGGATTGCACAGATACCAACTGATAACATGTCAACATAACTAGGAAAATCTCACGAGGCCCGCCCCCAGATAAAGAGCTCCAGTCAATCAAAGGCTGCTGAGAGAATCGGTCCTCTCCAGGGACACGCCCTGTGATGGGTGACCTAATCCCAAGAAGTCAGCCCTATGCACAAAAGCATAAGAACAATACTAAATGGGCTTTGGCAGGCTGTATTTATACACATATGTGTGTGCGTGTGTGTGTGTGTGCCTGTGTGTGTGCGTGTGTGTGTGTGTGTGTGCCTGTGTGTGTGTGTGTGCGTGTGTGTGTGTGTATGCCTGTGTGTGTGTGCCTGTGTGTGTGTGCCTGTGTGTGTGTGCCTGTGTGTGTGTGCCTGTGTATGTACGTGCAGTAACAATAACATTGAAAGGAGAAAAGGTCATGGATTTGAAGAGTGGAAGAGCGTGGGAATAGTTGGATGGTGAAAAAGAAGAGTAGAAACCGATATAAATGAAGGACTCGTGTGTGAAATTATCAAAAAATTAAAATTCTATATTTAATACAAGTACTTCAAGATCTTCAAAAGGACCAAGGAAATGGCAAACAAAGTATCAAAGCCTTTTTGTTTAAGGGCATCATTAAGACTACCAGGAGATAATGATTGGCTATAAGGGATTTCTTGAACAATTTATATAATTCATGTTAATTAAACTAACATTAGCCATTGCAAAAATCACAAGACAAAAATTTTGAGAAAAACTCACATTATTTAATGAACTTGAGAAACTTCATGTTTTGTATATATGAATATATAATAATCTTTCCCAATTACACCCTAAAATGACAAAAGCTGTAATTCCACTCATCCTCCAAAACACCAGTATCAAGACTGAGAACTTAAATCTGCGTATTGCAGCCTGTGCATCCATTCTCTTCTGCTCCCACCTGAAGGGGCAGTGCTGACAAGTCCCTTTAAACATCTCCACTTCAATGGTTTACTCTGAAAACGTTCTATAAGAACGTGTGAAGCCAAAGTATAACATCTTTACTTTTAATATTCCTATTTTAATATATCATCTCAATTCCTAAAAGTCAGAGGAATATAATCCTGGCAATAGAGATCAAAAAATACATAAACCTAGTGAAGCAAATGGACCAGGATTAAGATTGGCTCTGTTGCTTTGCTTGGCTTTTGATGCTCCGTTTCTTTTATTATTCCTACTTGTTTTAACGTTTCTTTTATGTGAAAACGGTCCATATTTTTTCTCATTAAGAAAACACTTTTCCCTGACCCTGAAAGGGGAACTTAAAGTAATGATTTTCACATGTCCAACACGAGCTGCAGGATTGGTGTTTTGTTTCTCCTTTTAATTTACAATAAAATTACACCCTTGTGAGTCCCGACATAAAATAACATTGAGTTACTCAAAACTTGGGAACTGGAAATATCACCAGTCCCTGCGTCATTAGAAATCAGAGTATCCCAGGCTACACTCCATTTGGACGGCTAATTAACTCCAAGCATAAATTACACCATCTAAGCTGCAAATTACTACATTTTGAGTAACAAAGTGGCAATTCATGTACTACTTGGATTTCTTTTCAAAGAAGCAAGTGAAACCAAGGATACTGTTAGTTAATAATTGACTATAAGCTTCAGCGTTCATCTCACAGCCTAAAACCACTAAGAACTACTTTGCCTTTGCTACGAAAGCAAAATACTTCCAGTCTAGATAGAGCTGTCCCTGGAACACATTAACAAACATTAGCTTCAGGACTAGTTTCCAGCAGCCGCCTATACAAAGTCAACACAAGGACCTTGTGTGCTAAAGAGCAATGCTTTATTCAAAGTCTCTTGAACTAAGCCTGGGAGAGAAATTTAACTAATATTTATAAAACAATACCATATACAACATAAGGCAAATTCTATAATTAACATTAAAATTATCCAATAAAAACTACAAAAGGGATACCTTGTGACTTTACATCCTTGATGATCCTCTGGAGCTCTTTCAGCTCCACATCAAGTTCATCGTAGTTGAGTTCTCTTGATTCAACTTTTGGAGCTTGGAACAGAGAGGGGTCTGTCCCCAGATATGAGCACTGCAGGTGGCCGTCATCACTGAGGGTCACTATCACTCCCTTCAAGTCACTGGAAGGTGCAAGAGAACATGAGACATGCTTAGATATCAGCCTTGACAGAGGACATTCAGCTTTGCATACCAATAAAAAATAAGTATAAGGATTGAGTTTCAAAGACTCAATTTTAATGTTTCAAACAGCATCTACATTTACAGATGTACGCCCAGTGTTAAGATATATTACAGAAGTGGAATAAACATTAAAATGTACTATACTGACTATCAAGGGAATCTAATTACATGGTAGTCTCATACTGGATATTGATCTTAATCCGCAATACAGGGGCCACTCGTCGCTATCATATCCAGTACGGGAATTCCACTTGCAACAATGGAGCAAGACTTGAGACTAGCTGGAGAGAAGAGATAAGGCATGACCCCAAGGCCAGGACAGCCATGAAGTACCCCCAAGGCCAGGACAGCTGTGAAGTGACTTCAAGGCTGGGACAGCCACAACAAAGTCACTGGAGAACTGATAAGAAGTCTTGAAGATAGATATGTTATCTCCTCCTTTCTTCCTCCTCTGGATTCTTACAAGTAATTCTTTCCACATGGGGCCCCTCAAGGCTTCCTTAACACATACTCCTACCCAAGGGGTTGTCTGATTTGTTCCTTTCCTCTCTCCCCATTCCTAGACAGAAAAGGTCACTGCCCTGTGCACTAGCTCTTTCTCCATCACTATTCTGATTCTTATAATTCCTTTTCCTCGCTGTCTGTTTCCACTTGTTTGAACGTGACCCTCAAACAAGTCACTAGGACATGAGTGTTTCACCTCACAGATTAACACTGATTATGAAAGATCTTAGAGAAAAGGGGCTCCCCTGTCAGTCTCTCTTCCTCCCTCCTTCCCTCTCTTCCTCCTTCCCTTTCTTGTCTTCCATGTCCTGAAACTTCACCCCAAGTCTCGGACTCCTGAATCTCTATAGCATAAGTCAAATTCTTTTCCTTCCTAACTAAAGCACTCAGTCTTTGGAAATCTATAATAGCAGCAAAGAACAGAAGAAGGCAATTTTCACTTCTTCTCAGGTTCCGTTATCTCTGGTTCTCTCTAAAACTTACCTGCAATATATACATTCTGGTCGATTTTACTACGAAATGTTTAGAAATTAAAATTACACATTTCTCTTAATATACCATAAAAAGCAGTCAAAAGAAATACTGAATTTGCTTAGTCCTTGGTATTCATAGAAAAAAATTCAACATTGTCCTAAATCATTTGGTGTTATATGAATTGTTTTAGGTTTTGCTATATGTTAATACACTGGCCTATGATCTAACAAAATATTTTGCCTTTTTTGTTGTTTTAAATGTTCATACATATTTGCTGTATGTGGGGCATATGTCTCCTGATATCCTCAACCATCTGCTTGCTCCCTGCCCCTCTCCTGTTAGCTCCCGTTTGTTCCCATAGATAATTTTCTTCCTATTTTCATAACACATATGCACACCAGATTTTATGTATTTATATAAAATCTAGGAATGGTAAATGAGAAGACATACAATTGTCTCTTAAGACAATTCACTTACTCTAGTTTGCCTTGCTCTTGCAACAGTTTTCCTGCAAGTGACATGACGTCCTTCTCAGCTGGAAAAGCTCTGTTGTACATGGGTCACCATGTCTGCGTTTACGTTCTCCTGCTGTTGAACATGCATGTGGCTCCAGAAGTTAGCTGTTGTAAACAGTGTGACAATAACACTGGTGCCAATGTCTCTGCAGCTCACTGGCTTGGAATCCTTCGGTAAGTCAAGTCATGTGGTAAATATGTCTTTACTTTATTGAGAAGCCACCAAACCAATATCCGTAGTAGTAGACTAGTTTGCCTTCCTACCAGCAGCACATGGGGTTCCTTGTTGTCTACACGTTTGCCAGCATTTGTTATGTTTTCTTAATAACTACTGTTCTGACTAGGGTAGGATGGAATCTAAGTAATTTTGGTTTGCATTCTGAAGTAATGAAGTGGAAATATGTATTGAACATTTATATTTCATATTTTGAGAACCATCTGTTCATTTTATTAGCCTCTTTATTGATGTGATTATTTAGTTTCGCTTTGTTTCAGTTCTTTGTATGTTCTAGACATTTTCCTCTGTCAGATATATAGCTAGTTAAGATTTTCTCCTATCATGTAATCTGTCTCTTCACTCAGTTGTTTTCTTTGACATACAGAAACTTTTTAATTTCATGAGATCCCATTTGTCATTTTTGGGGCTTGTTCCTGAATGACTGGAGTTTTAACAAGAAAGTTCTTGCCCATTCCTCTATCTTGAGCTGTTTTTCCTACTTTCTAGTCTTCTGTTAACATCTTTAACTCACCAGGAGTTGACCTTTACACAGAGTGAGACATGGGGTTCTATTTTCATTCTACACACGGATATCCCATTTTTCCAATGACACGTTTGAAGAAGCATGCTTTTCTCCAATGGGTATTTTTAGCATCTCTGTCAAAATCCAAGCGGCTATAGCTGTGTGAGTCTCTGCTCTATTCTGCTGACCTATACGTCTGGTTTGCGCCAGTACCAAGCTATTTTGAGTATTGTTATTATTATTATTATTATTTTATGTGTATGAGTGTTTTGCCTGCACATATGTCTATGTACCATGAACATACCTGTTGCCTTTGGAGAACAGAAAAGGGAGCTGGATCCCCTGGACCTGAACTTAGATGGTTCTGAGACACCACATGGGTACCGGAAATCAAACCCAGGTCTTCTGGAAGAACAACCAGTGTCCTTAACCACTGAGACATCTCTCTAGAACACCAGTTGTTTTGACACTATTTGCCACTGTTTTTTCTTGATTTAATTTTTTATCTTTCTTTAGAATTTCATACATTAGTCCTATATTTATATCATTTCTACCCTCCATCACCCACTGCAATAGTTCCCATGACCCCCACACTTCTTCTCAAATTCATGACCTCTTCAATTATTATTGTTACACACACACACACACACACACACACACACACACACACACCCTCTTGAGTTCTTTTAGTGTTACTCATCTGTACATGTGAGTAACACATGTGTTCAGGACTGACCTCTTGGGGTTGGATTGCTTATCAGAGAGCTTGTCTCTTTAAGAGATTGATCCTCCCGCTCTTAGTAACCATTGGTATCTTTTTGCCAGGGTATGACCCCATCCACACTGGTGTGTCAACTGGTGTTTCCATTATATAGGTCTTGGTTAGGCAACTATATGTTGGAATTCATGGGTGCATTCTCCCTGTTTATGCTACAAAACACTATCTAGTAGCAGGAATCCTGACTCTCTGGCTCTTAGAATATTCCAGGCCCTGTTCCATAATCACCCCCGAGCCTTACACATAGGGGTTACATTGGAGATTTATCAATTGGTTAAACCTGTTTTTTTTTTTAAGAAATCCTAGCTATAGTTTATTAAGTTATCCAAATAAGAGGAATCCACATGTTGGACTCAATGTTTGGAAGAAACGAATCATCTCATAAGTTGGTAGATTTATCAACAGAACTGTGATTTAGAGATTTGGACAGTCTTGTATTATATTTGTTAAGCTGCATGTGGTGGCTGGCACTCCTACAATTCCAAGACTTGCAAGGTGGAGGCAAGAGCTTCAGGTGTTCAAGGTCATCCCCAGCTACAAGTCAGGTTGGAGGACAGCCTGTGCAGCACGTCTCAATACCACCAAATAAAAACCATTGATAAGCATTTTCAGCATTGTACTCCCCCGCGATGCCCACTCCACTCTGGCCCTTTCACCAGCCACATCCATCCCTGAGCTGGGTCCCAGTGGTTGTACCTGTTCTTAAGGACAGAGCTATTAATCAGAAGGGGAGACAGACAGAGAGACAGACCGACAGACAGAGACAGAGAGACAGGGAGATCTACTAAACTCAGAAGAAATATTTTTAAATCTCTCCAGGGCTGTATCATTGCAAACAGTAATGCTGCTAATGTAAAAGCTCAACTGGGTTGAGAACATCAGTCTTTCCCATAAAATGACCCCAGCAATCACTCACTACTGACCAGAAACACAACAATCCAGCTAGATGTGAGGGTGAGTACCTATAATCCAGCACTCAAAAAGTTGAGGTGAGAGAAATTTGAATTCCAGACCAACTTGGGCTACATAGTGAGATTGTCTCTAAAAGACAAAAACAATCAACACAATCTACAACATCCCTACACCCTGTACACGCTGTACCTCCTCTGGGGCCCGTTACAGTGAGTGCCACAGACCCTGTGACACGCTGTGGCATGGCTTCACAGCAGTAAGAGCTACCCTGGTGCTAAGTGACAGTGGAGCTGAGACCAGGAGAGCCTGGGTTCTAACACTGCTGCTCTAGAGCCCAGCCAACCCCAAGAAGTCCTCCCAAAGTTGCTCATCTCTAAAGAAGATGGTGAGAAATGGTACTCCTCAAAATCCATTTGCAGGAATCACTTCTTTCATCCGCCTCACAAAATGAATTAGTCTCCTAAAGTGAAGTATGGAAACCCATGGTGCCTATGGGGCTGTGTCTTTCCTGACAGGACACTGAAGCCACCTAAAAGGTTGACAAAATCCTAACTTACAGCCGCAAAGCATGTCCTGAGGGATAAGTCTCATTCTACTCCACGTAGTGATTTCTACTCTCCTTTACTCAAACCCCTGAAGGTCCAGAAACCTGAGTCCTCAAGGCTTTCCTGATGTTGAAAGGCCAGTTGTTGGCTGGCGCCCTAAGACAAGGCAGAAACCATCCTTCTCAGAATTCAAATAGCCACTCCCCGCTCACTCTTAACCTCCCAGCGCCCACAAAGCAGGAGAGCTGGCAAGGCATGAGAAAGGCATTCCTCCTTATTCAAATGTATTACACGTTACATAGGATAGTTTAAAGTTTCTCTCACATTCCAATACTGGTAATTAAATATGTTCTGAAATTCAGCAAATTTCAAAAAAAAAGTGTTGATGTATAGAAAAATAAACCAGTTTGTTCCAACGTTTAAATAGAAAGCAGTTGCCAACTTAGATATAAGAGAATTATTTAGAAAACT